AGTTTTCTATTACGACAACAACAATTGTTAGATAGGTGTTGATGACAATGACTACAGCGAAAACGAGAGCAAATTTTAGGTGCAAAATTGTAGTGACGTTGGTGTTGGTGGTGTTCAAGGTGTCGGTGTTGATAACAAAAATGATTTTAATTTTACTGATGAAATTTTTGTGTTGTGGCGGTTCTTGTTGTTGTTTTTGGTGATGTTGAAAATAATGGTAGTCGCTTGAACTAAAATTGTTGTTGTCGAAATTTTGTTGATCTTTGTAAAAAAATAGCTGGCTGATAAAATTGTTTCTATTATCAACATTGTTGTCGCTGAACGATATTAAGTTGAGCTTGTTGTTGCTTGTCGTGGTGAGATTTGTGGAGAAGGAGCAGTAGTTGTGATACGTGAAGATGTTGTTTTTGTAGTTTTTGTTGAAGGAAGAGGAGGTAGAAGTTCTAGTAGAAGTAGAAGTAGCAGTAGACTTTATCCTGCAAAATGATTATCGTAAACTACATTTAAAATCTCTTTCAATATCCTTAACAAAAAAAAAAACTAGATAAAAAACACGTAAAATATGTGTAATACAGAATATCCCTAAATGGTACCCTACTATTTGGCTTTGAAGGCCTGTAAATGTAAATTTTTTCCACGTTCCTGGATTATCAGTCAATTTGGTTAATGAATAATAAAAATGATCATACGCAATCCGTTTCAATACATGTAACCAACTACATATACATACATAAATGACTTTTTTACGACCACATTGTAAGAGATTTTCTAACAATCATTAAATAACGCCATTCTACTAGTACATACTAAACCTCCATAAGAAAATTTTGGCTCGCTCAAGGCACTTTCCCAATATTGCTTGCCACCATATAAATCAATAAAGCCATAATTTTGCGCAGCAAATTTTTTGCGGTCTTGTACTTACCTATAGCGTCCACCACCGCGACCTCCACTGGTACTTCCACCACCACCGCCGCCACCTCGGCGTCTATCATCACGTCGTGACCGACCCGACGACATTTCCACACGGATACGAGTACCACAGCACCGTCTGCAACATATATATGTACATGCATAATCATTAATTGTAATACCATAAATTGAAATAAAATGGTTGTGTCCTATTTTTATGACTACTTACGTTCCATCCAAACCTCGAGTTGCATCCTCCGCATCCCGGCGATCTTCGAATTCAACAAAAGCAAATCCAGGTGGGTTTCTCGCTACCCAGACATTTCTCAGCGGGCCATATTTGCTAAAGGCATTTTCAATTTCATATTTTGAAGCAGATGAACCTAAATTACCAACGTATACTTTGCATGCCAAGTCCCACTCTCGATAGCGCGGCATATTTGATATTTATGACTCTAATCCGATATTTAACGAAAATACTAGAAATAAAAGATATGCATCAGCAATTTTTTCACTAATAAAATGAAGGCGTGAAATTCCATGTACAGAAAAAACAAAATGGCGGACATGAAGTGCATGATTATAATTAGTACCATTTCAAATGCTTTAAAACTTAAAAATAAGATATATTTTGAATCAAGAACTTACCTTCCTCTATGTTCAATGCAAAAATTGCCTTTTCAATGTTTTTGCTACTAAGTTATGCAATTAAAATACGCTTCAAATTAAATTTTCTTAATAAAACGCAAACACGTACACGTCCACCTACTCTCCACAAGCACAAGAAAAGAATAATCGAAAATGGACTCTATATGGGTTGGGACCAAATGCAACAGGGTGAAACCAGTGTTTATCACCCTATACTTCCGGTAGTGCATTCCAGTCGATTTCGCTTCCACTTTTCGTTGTCTTTTCCGAACGCTCACATTGTGTATACACGAATTTGTGACAGGGCCCTTTGGGGAAAAGTTTGAACAAAAATCAAAAGGGGTCTTCCCTTAAACTCGTAAAAGCCTCGAAAACCTCGAAAAGCTCGTTAATTTACGAGCCTCGCAAAAGAACTGTAAAAATTTTTATGGAGCTCTATTTACGAGGCCCTCGTAAAATTACGAGGCAAATTTGATGCGCAAACGACCTCGTACACTTTAGTGTTGCCGAGGGCTGACTTTTTTATACTAAAATGTATGGTAAAATAATAAAAATAAACGAATAAAATGAATGAAATTTCATCCACAAGCTGTAATGACTTAGGTTTTTTGCTAGTTTTTGGCATTTTTGATTGTATTTTAGCCAAGCATGATAGAGACAAGATGGCGGGATGTTATGGAAAATATTACGAAACAAAAATTGCTTCACAAATTCTGGATGATTTGTCAAACAGTCACTTTACGCCACGATGTAGAGAGAGATGAGAAAGTAGATGAACACAACCACGATTTATTTACAAATGGTGGTCGTCGCCTTTTTTGTCTCCTCCATCTCCTCTATTCGTTGCGAACGTGACGTCATTACCCGGAGAAATGCGCAATCTTGTATTCTATCATTCTTGACTTTACGCAATTATTTACACCTTTTCACAAAGGGGGCGTTCCCATAAAAGACTCGTAAACTCACAAGTTTTACACAGTTTAAGATTTTACGAGTTTAAGCGAATTCCCTAAAAATCTTTAGATTTTCTGGCCGCCATGTTCACGTTATGTACTTTCACTTTTACATGGAAGTAGTATCATAAGTCTAGGTTCAGACAGAGAAACTTTTGTCGCGGCAACTCGTTCCTTGTGGGAGAGTTGCTCGTGCTCGGGCAACACTCTTTGTCAAGGGATTCCACAAGGGGGTATACTCTCTCACTTACTGTTTAATAGCGTGGGTCGAAAATCCGCTTTTTTATAATTTTGATTGGTAATAGCAAAAATATGAATCATTATGCTTTAAAAAAAACCTGTGTGAAATTTGGAATTTTTTGGCCAATATCCTAGGCTCGCCCAAGTCCATCAAAGTTTAATATGCTCAAAAAATAAAAATTAATAAATAAATTGATTAATACATTTTTTTTGTATATGGACCTTTTTTGAAGATAAGGTAAGGGAAAATTTTTTTTAAGTACTTGAACTTTGATGGACTTGGGCGAACCTAGGATATTGACCAAAAATTTTCACACTTCACACAGATATTTTTAGAGCATAATGAACCATATTTTTGCTATTACCAATCAAAATTCTTAAAAAGCGGATTTTCTACCCACGCTACTGTTTAACTTATACATCTCGAAGCTCCCCCAGCCACCCGAGGGAGTTTTTTCTGATCTCATACGCTGACGAACAGTTATTTGTCCAGACTCGACCCCAAAATCCCCGATAAGTGGCTGGCATGTGTAGACTTTCCGCACGACACCAACCACCTCTTCACATGTCAGCGCAACCCTACTCAGCTGACACCTCTCTCACTTTGATTCGACCCTGTTGAAACAGCCCGTTTCCTGGGCCTACAATTAGTTGAGCTTGACGGCAATGATTGAAGGATGAACCGAAATAGGCGGGGCTTAGTAGTGCCGCTACAACAACAGCTGGACAGTAATACATTTTATTTGTTCGAAACGGCCAGTCATATGCGTTATGTCTTTCGGTAGCGCGAGGATTTAATAAATATCGAAAAGCTGATTGCACTTTCCCAAGTACCAAAAAATATTAAGCTTGTCACCACGATAATTCTAGAAACCGATAATAAAGTAATTTTAAACAAACAATGTACATACATACATGGGGAAAATTAACGAATATACAGCTACCGAGCACCAAGCTCGGTGTGAAGACCCCTAATGTATTGTGGGGCTGTGAGCCAACGCTCGATTGCTAAAATTGTTCAAACAATTTTCTCCACTATTACCTGGAAATAATTTTTTCAAAAATATAGTAAACCATTTCAGAAATTTTTCTGAATTTTTCTAAAAAATAAAAAAAAAATATTAACAACTATCGTTTTCAACACTACTCAAATACATCAAATGCAACACTATCAGCAGCGACGTGTTCTCTTTCAACATTTGTCTCGTTTTCGTAGTTCGTGTATTAAGTGGTTCGTGTTTCTTGAGATTTTGTTAACATTTCTTTAATTTAAATATAAAAAAGTAGTACGATATTGTAAAGTAAGGCAGGGCTTTTGATATTAAGCCGTAGTATAAGGATTTGTTCTATTGAGCCAAGGTTCCGGGAAGGCAGCGAAAATTATACACACAAACAAAGATGAATATCCCCAACGAG